TTTTATTGTCAGACCATTAACTGATTTTAATTAAATAAAATATTTACATTAGAAAAGTCAGAGTGGGATTAACAGTGTGGGGCCTCGAAGGTGAAACCTATTGCAAAAGATAAACATTGGCAGCAGAATCAGACAACTAGGTTGCTTCTCTTTGATAGAGTCAAGGGATATATAGGAAGACTAAGTTTAGACAAATGAAACACAGTTTTTCCAATTCAATGATATGCCCATAAAATTTAAATATTACTTTAATTGTTAAAAGGAATATATTGAGCAGTTTTAAACAGTGGGCCTAGATAACTATCCCTGTCTATTTTTAAAAATGTGTATTTTCATATGACATAGTACACTTTATTTCACAGCTAGTATCTGAGAGTTCAAGCTGGATTCAGGACAGATGAGTTTGTCCTGTGTTAGTTATTTCTCTGCCAACTATTCATCCTGTCAAATGGCATCCATTGGCTAGAAGCAACACTATCCATTATAACAAAGCACGTTGTGTAATCTTTTTCCTCAGTTTAAGGAAAAAAAAAATCATTGAAGAAATTTTTAGAGAAAGATTTATTTTATTTGACTTTTGGGATAAGATTTTAATGAGAAAGTTGGAGAATTTTTGAAAGGTTAGTATTATTTAAAATTTTCACATGGTTATGTAATCCCAAATAATCCTTGCCCAAATTAACAATTAAAGTAATACAAAAATTTAACTTTTATTTTCAGAGATTATTTTTATGGATAGTGATGGGGAGGGAGGAGAGAATGAAGAGAAAATTAGCTTTTTTTTTTTTATCAAGGGATGGCAAGATAAAAAGATTGTGGCATTATTACTCCTCCAGGAAGAATAAGTATTCCTCTTTGTACCAAAAATGCTTTCATTCAAAACTAAGAAAAGGAATCTTCCTTCAGGCATTTTATCACTTTTGTCTCCTTAGCGAATTCAAAGCTTAACCAGTGTTAAGCCTACTATATTCAGTCTTTCAACAATAACCTACCCTTTCTTGCAGATACAGTTGCTGTCTAATAAACAGTTTTTAAGGGAACCACTATTCAAAGAAGTAAAAGGGAGGCTGAATAAAACAATTAAATTCTCCATACCCGTTGCTCCGAGTCCATTCCGACCCGTAGCAACCCTAGAGGACAAAGTAGAACTGCCTCATAGGGTTTCCAAGGAGCGGCTAGTGGATTTGAACTGCCGAGCTTTTGGTTAGCAGTCCTATCACTTAAGCACTGCACCACCAGGGCTCCACAGAACAAATGAATTTCTGAATCAACTGCAAATAACTCAATGATCATGGCATTTTATAAAGTATACTCTCCTCCAATTATAATTCCAATGCCTTCAAGAGCCATATAATCTGAAAATGGTATCTTTTTTTTCTGTCCCCACACTTCAGCTTTCTTCTTTCAGTCAGTATTTTGGAAAGTCCACAAAACCCAAGGGCTTCCCTGTCATTGCCCTGTGGTCTATGTAAAAACCAGATGATGGCATGCTGACTTAGACTCTTTCAAATGGATCAAACGCCACATTAGTCACTGGCAAATTTTCAGATCTTTTACCTCAGTGAGCACCCAGTTCCTCATTCTTGCCACCCTTCAATCGTGAAGTTAATAGTGAAAAAATTATGAGTATTTGTTGAGGACACCTCCCACCTATTTCCTTCCATGCCACTGACTAATTCCTTCAGAGTGGTAACACTGAAGGGTCTAGAAATACAAAGTGATTGAGCTATAATCACTGGATTTCTTCCCGTCTCCTACTTAAATGGAAAGCCTACCTTATTTCACCCAAGTGAAGTATTCCATCGTGCCTTACACTGTTGCACTCTGGGTGGGTTCAGTGTCACTTAAAGATGAAATGACATGGTCTATTTAGTGCTCTTTCAGTGTTTATTACTGAAGAAGTCCCTGTGGGTTATATCAGTGCAACAAAGACTGACTTTAGATGTGGTCACCAAGGCACAGAAATTGGTTTCACCAATCCAGCGAGTATGAAGGGACAACCACCAACTTTGGAGCAAACCTAGAACTTATTCCCTGTCCTACATTTAAAGGGAAAAGACTTTCTACCTGTTATAAAAGGAAAAGCATTAAGTTCTTAATTACTGTATGCCCAGAGGGGTTTTTTAAAATCATTTTTAAATTGTTTTAGATGAGGGTTTACAGAGCAAATTAGTTTCTCATTAAACAATTAATACATGTATTGTTTTGTGAGATTGGTTGCCAACCCATGACATGTCAACACTCTCTGCTTCTCGACTTTGGGTTCCCCATTACCAGATTTCCTGTCCCCTCCTGCCTTCTCGTCCTTGCCCCGGTTGGTGTGCCCCTTTAATCTCGTTTTGTTTTATGGGCCTGTCTAATCATAGGCTGAAAGGTGAACCTCAGGAGTGACTTCAGTACTGAGTTAAAAGGGTGTCCGGGGGTCATACTCTAGGGGTTTTTTCAGCCTCTGTTAGACCAGTAAATCTGGTCTTTTTTTGTGATTTAGAATTTTGTTCTACATTTTCTCCAGCTCTTTCTGAGACGCTCTATTATGATCCCTGTCAGAGCAGTCGGCGGTGGTAGCTGGGCATCGTCTAGCTTGCTGGACTCAGTCTGGTGGAGGCCGTGGTAGTTGTGGTCCATTAGTCCTTTCGACTAATCTTTCCCTTGTGTCTTTGATTTTCTTCATTCTCCCTTGCTCCAGGCGGACTTCCTTAGAGGGTTTTTTGAAAGTGCTATACCTGCTTGAAACCAGTTCCTGTAAAGTCATTTCCTGCTCCTGGGGACCCCATGTGTGTCAGAGTAGAACTGTGCTCCATAGAGTTTTTAATGACTAATTTTTTGTAAGTTAAAGAGCCCCTGGGTGATACAAATGGTTAACATACTTGATTGCTAACTGAAAGGTTGGGGGTTTGAGTTCACCCAGAGTCACCTCAGAAGAAAGGCTGGTGATCTACTTCTGAAAAATCAGCCATTGAAAACCCTATGGACCACAGTTCTATTCTGACATACATGGGGTTGCCATGAGTCAGAGTCAACTGGACGGCAACTTTTTTTTTGGTTTTTGGGATTTTTTTTTTTTTTTGCATACCTGTTTAAGAAATTATTTATTTGTGCTTTGAAGTAGGCAAATTCAAATTTAAGCCTAAATCCTCTTTGGGATCAACTTGCTCTGCAAGGACTGGAGGCCACTCCTGCTAGTGCCTCCACTCCTTGGAAGGGGAGTTAAGGGGTTCAGAAGCAAACTTTGCAGCTGCTGTGAACCCAGGTTCAGGCAGAGAGGCACTAAGATTTCCAGTGGAGTCACACTGTTGATTAGAGGAGAGTCCCACCCAGAGATGGCTCCTTGATGGAAGTCCTTCTGGTTTAACTTGGTAAAGAACCTACACCTGCCAATAAGACTTATTGGAAAGAGACAGAATCCCGTTCAACAAGGCCACTCCTAATATAAACATCATCAAATGGACTCATGTTCCACTGAGGCAGGGATTTGGTAGATCTACCAAGCCAGGGGAGGAAGCACTCCCCCCAAACCTGTGGGGAATAATCCCAGCTCTCATCGATTTCTCAAACCTTGTGTTAAAAGATTAGATTTGTGAAAAATCCATACTGAGAAAAATCTACCAAACCCCTTTGCCTGAGTGGAATATGAATCCATTTGATGATGTTCGTATTAAGAGTGGCCTTGTTGAAAGGGATTCTGCCTCTTTCCAAGAAGTCTTATCGGCGGGTGTAGGCTCTTTACCAAGTTAAACCGGAAGGACTTCCATTAAGGAGCCATCTCTGGGTGGGATTCCCTCCTACTTTTCCTTTGGATTCTGGGCTGCTTGTACATACAGATTGATTGGTTTCTAATGATTGTATAGTTGGGAGATCCTGGATTTAGGTCATGTATTTCCTCGGAAAGAGATCATGTGAGCTAAGGAGATAGGGTGGTCACCTTGTTCAGCACTGAAAGCCCTGCATCCCAGATGGTTGGTCATCTTGTAAGGAGATACAGTACACTTCCATACACTGTATCTAAGAGGTGGACTGAAATTATCACAGGGTTCTGACTTAATAGGATTCTAGGAGGTAAATATAAGGTCATTAGAGCTTATTTTTAGAGGTATGATTTTAGTGTTGGGGTTTTCTCAAAGAAAGAAATCTGGTCTTCTAAAAGAGGCTAGAAGACCAACTGGAGGAGCAAGGATGTCCAAGGATCCTTGTTTAAAATGTCATTATCTCCATGCTATTTCCTTTTTATTGCTGTCCTCATCATTCTTAGGGTATAACAGTAAAAAAGATAAAATAGCTTAAATGAAAAAATCTGATTTTATAAAATAAGGGATAAACAAGTGTCAAATCCAAGGATTTCCACTTAGAAAATATACCATTTTTGAATGGAGGAAACTTTCGTGACCTGGGCATATGTAACTCAGTAATCAGAGCTCATGGCATAGAGGTCCCAAAGGCCAAAGTATCCTAACAGTTGACTGTGGGCCAAGTCCTTGGACTTGAGTGTCCACAGCCAACGTTCAGAACCAGGTCCCTGGGCAGGGCTCTCTCTCCTGCCTCATCGTGGCAGTTAGGATGCACTATTTCTGCTCACCTCCCTCCTTCCCTTGCTTTCTGTTAATCATAAATTCCCGTATTACCCATCATTCATCCAGCTCATGTGACCAAAAATTGTGAGGAGGGTGCAGATGAAAACATGTTCTTAGTAGGAAGGGGGTACTTTATAGTTACACCGCATCCCCGAAGGTGCATTGTTCCAACTTAACAATACATACTGTATTTTAAGTGGTCAGCTTCCTGGAGTATCTTCTCCCACCTCTGAAAACAATCACCATTAGCATTTTGATTTATTTTCATCCCATCATTTGTTCAGTGCATATTTTAAAAAATGGAGCTATGGTCATCTATCTATGTGTATGCATAATTGTGTATCTTTCTGTGTTTACCAGCCTCTCATAAGCAGTTTTGCATGTTGCTGTATAGTCAAGTGTGCTGACTTCTGAAATGTGCTTCTTACATAGATCTGCAACTATGTGGGACCTGCAAAGGTTATTGTTCAGCTGGTCACAAATGGAAAAAACATCCACCTGCATGCGCACAGCCTGGTGGGGAAGCACTGTGAGGATGGGATCTGCACTGTGACTGCTGGACCCAAGGACATGGTGGTCGGGTAAGTGCAGAAACAGGATGCCATAGGACGCAGGAACAAATAGAACATGGGTCACAGGGACTTTGACTAAACAGACCCTTTTGATTAGAGAGCTTCCTGATACCTTCAGAGGACCTCAAAAAAACGTGAAAGCCTGTGCCCTCACTTGAACTCCAAGGAGTAAGGTGACTACATATCAGTTTGCCTCAAACCACCAGTTTGCACTTGTGGTCCTGGCCTAATAATTTATAGCACCCTCTTTCACTGTCAAAAGTGGCTCAGTTTAGATGATAAATTACATGGTCACCTGACCTAGGAGGCATTTGCAGCACTTTTAACAATAGTTGTCTTCTCCTAGAAATAAAGATAAGGAAAAAATAGAAATAAGAAACCTAACTATAGCCGAAATCTGCACTTTATAGATGGTTTCAGCCTCTTGATGATTCCTTTAATGAACTGTTGACTCTGGATTTAAACTGTGAACATTTTGGGCATGAAGTGGATAAATAAATATTGTTTTAGCTCTGTGCTGCTCGGAAGGTATCCACAGATAAGAAGCCAAGGAATGAAAATTTGTTTTGGCATTCATTAGACTTGAAATATAAATGCAAAGGGACATTCATTTAAGAGTTTGCCACACAGATATGGATAAACCGTGGTACATAGATTCACACACAAGCAATTTTTAATGAAGGAAGTTCCATTGATTGGATAGAATGGATAAAAATCAATTCAATCCAAAATAAGTAAGAATTTTTAAACTAATTTTGTTTAATTCCTTAAAATAACTTTCAAGGTTTTCTAATCCTGGTTTAGCGTATGCTAAAATTCCGGTTAATCTGGGCTATTCTCTCAAAAGAAAGGAATTGTTTAAATGGACTGTAATTAAGCTGATGGTAGCATTTCAGGCTTTGAATTAGATCAAGTTTCAAGTTGGTTATTGGGGAGGTTGAGCTTTCATGTTCCTAGGCCTTTCTTTGTTTGACTGTGAAAATATTCAAGTGTGAAAAACCTAGAGAGACAGCTTTCAAGTCACTAAAATCTGATTCTTTTGATGTTAGAAAAAAAAAACCACTCTAGATTGAAGGAAGAAGCTTAAATTGATTTGAAAATTCAAGTGTGCTTTATATGAACGTGTTTCAACATCCTGTTGAAAGATTGGCCTGTTTCCTTTCTGGATCACAGTTGGTTCATTGTCTGTTTTGGAATACCCTTCGGTTCCTGACTGGCCTATGAGAGCTTTGAAATGCAGGGTAATTGTCACTGTTTCAGGTTAACTGATTGCTTAGTGATTTACTCCTCTCAATTTGAAGTGTTTATTCTCCATGATCTTCTTTAATCTGTGTGTTAATCATATCCTTTAGAAGAAATTATGGATGAAGTTCCCTGCTAATCTTTGTTGTTATAAAACTTTCAGATATGGTCTGTAATTTGTAGTTTCTGTGACATGGCTTAGTACTCTTTCAGGAATTTAGAAAGGACTAATGAGTCAGAATCTACTCTGCAGCAATGGGGTGATGGTTATTTAGGATTCCCTGAGTGACACAAACAGTAAACACACTCAGCTGCTAACCAAAAGGTTGGTAGCTCCACTCCACCCAGAGGTGCCTCAGAAGAAAGTTCTGGCAATCTACTTCCAAAACACATGGGGTTGCCATGAGTTGAAATTGACTCGACAGCAGCTGGTATTTGGAAATAACCAGTGCAGAGGGTTAAGTTCTTGGCTACTAACTGAACGTTTGTGGTTGTGTGCCGTAGAGTCAGTTCGAACTCACAGCAACCGTATAGGACAGAGTAGAACTGCCCCGTAGGGTTTCCTAGGCTGTAATTTTTACAGGAGCAGGTTGCCAGGTCTTTTCTTTCATGGAGCTATGGTGAGTTTGAACTGCCAACCTTGTCAGTTATCAACCAAGTGCTTAACCATTATGCAACCAGAGCACCTTAAGCAAAAGGTGAGTGGTTCATATCTACCCAGAGGCACCTCGGAAGAAAGCCCTGGTGATCTACTTCTGAAAGGTCAAAGTCATTGAAAACCTTTTGGAGCATAGTTTTACTGAAACACATAGGTTGCCATGAGTTGGAATCAGCTCGATGGCAACTTTTTTTTTTTTTTTTTTAAATACTAGTTAATGCTTATTTAATTGGGAGCCTATAGCAGGAATAGAAGTAAATTCCCTATCTCCAAGAAAGTAAGGGATTCTTTTACTTCCATGTAGTGCAGTGGCGTGTGGAGCTTAGTAGTTAGGAGAAGCCATTTATTCATTCATTCAACAAGCATTTTCAGCATATAAGCTCCTCAATTTGGTCATCAAGATGTCTGATTGTAGTGCTATGGGATTTTTTAACCCTATGTAATTCCACTGAGAGATTTAATCAGTTGAGAGTTACAAAAGACTCAGTGGCCTTTCTTGTTCCTAGTGTTCTATGAAGCATTGGTACTCACTCTCTAATTTGATTTTTAGCTGAGAAACTTCTGCTTATGGTATTTTCCAAAATGCACTATTTCCATCATGATTCATTTGCTCTTTTGATTTTTTTAAAAGTTTCCAGCGTCAGAACCTGTTGCATTTTAGTAGAAAGAAAAGCATGCTAGCAGTCTGGAAACCAGAATTCTTTCTCCAGTTCTGTCACTCCCAGCAGTAGAACTGGGGACAAGTTGCATGACTTCTTGGGGCCTTAATTTCTTCCCTTATAAAATGTGAGAGTTGAGCTACAGAATCTATCTCCAGGCCCTTTCCATCTCCAAAATTCTAGACTGAGCTAATTTTAGTTCGTATTGTGAAATGATATGAGCAAACTTGCCACGTATGTATTTATGGTATGTCATCGATTATTATTATTTAGTTCTGACTTGTAGGTGAGAATATCGCATAGAGAGATTTAGGAAGATAGCCAGAGTTATTACTTACACTTGTCAATACTAGAAATAGAACCAAGATAAGTTATTTTCAGTAATGCAACTTCGGCTAAGAGTGTAGATTCACAAGCAAGGCACTGATCCAACGTAACAAAAAAGATATATTAAAAAATGACACTGAGAAGATAAATAACCTTTAAATTACCAAAACCAAATGAGTTACTTTTCTTTGGAGTGTTTCTCTTTGCCTTTCTCTCAGCATGAATTCTCAGTAAAACTTAGTTTCTGTTTCCAAAGGTGTTTTCAATATAGATATTAATAACATTAAAATATTAATATTTTAAATAACTGAATCATGATTGTAAGTTTGATTATTTTAATTTCAGGGGTTTGTTTTTTTAACTTTTTAGTTAGCTTTAATTTCGTTTTTGTTTTGGGTTTTTTTTTTTTTCCTTATTCATTCATTTAGTGCCTGTTGTATAAAAATCATCTTGGTTTGGTATTTTAGTTAGACCTGAATATCAACTATTTATTTCAACAACATTTTAGTTTTTTGGAATTTTTCTTTGATGGAAAATCAGTTCTCTGTGTTGATTTTGCTTTAGGCCACCTTCCTCACCAATAGTCACCACACCCTCTGCTTCCTGGCAGCCCTGACTTAGAGAGATGTATAGTCTTTTTTTTTTAAAACTAATGTTTACAGCACATACCGAATGGTAAGCACTAGAAGTAGATAGGTTAACTACAAAAGAGAAAGAAGACCCCCCTCAGAGAGCTACTGCAGGCCGTATGAAATTGCTGTTTTTGTAGATCCAAAAACAACTGGATATTGGAAATTTCATATGATTAACCTTAATACGCAGAAAAGAAGCTGGTTGGAGAAAATGGACCAAGTATGAACTGAGGTTGCAGTATCCAGCTTCCAAATTAGGATGTGTATTGTGAGTCAGGAAGCCCTGGTGGTGAAGTGGTTGAAGAGCTTGGCTGCTAACCAAAAGCTTGGCGGTTGGAATCCACCAGCCGCTCCCTGGAAATCCTATGGGGTAGTTCTACTCTGTGCTATAGGGTTGCTATGAGTCAGAATCAACTTGACAGCAATGGGTTTGGTTTTTTGTTTTTTTATTGTGAGTCAGGGGCTGCTTTTAAATCCTGTGCCAGCTATGAAGTCAGTGTTTGAGTCCAGAGAGGAGGAAAGGCCAGGTAGAGGGGCCACTTTTGAATCCCAGCCCAATGACTTGAGGATTTGAACACAACCACAAAGCAACAACAGTTCCCAGATGAGTATGATGATGGGGATACCTGTATAGTGCAGAGGGTTTCAAAGCTGGCTGCTAATTATAAAAATTAGCACTTTATAAAGTGGGCTATTTTATTAAAATACTGATGCCAGGCTCTGTTCCCAAAGGTTTTGATCTCATTGGTCTAGAGTGGTATAGAACAGTGGTTCTCAAAGTTTAGCATGCATCAGAATCAGCTGCAGGGTTTGTTAAATCACAGATCCCCTCTCCTTGAGTTTCTGGTTCAGTAGGTTCATATGGGGCCCAAGAATTTGCATTTTTAATAAGTTTCCAGGTAATGCTGATTATTTTGGTTATCTAGTGCTGCTATAACAGAAATACCACAAGTGGATGGCTTTAACAAAGAGAAATTTATTTTCTCACAGTCTAGGAGGCTAGACGTCCGAA